CGCTCAGGTGCTTTCTCTCGACACCTATGAATTGAGAGGCAGGGCAATGGCAGAAAGAAGTTTATTTCTGAATTCAGAATTCAGGGAGACAGAACCTGGCTCCTGATATTTCTGGAACTGTTCTGCTCACCTCTTAGGTTCCACAGTCCATTTTTATAAATTAAGGGTTGCTGGTACCTATACATTGACTATGTGACTGACAGAGCATTGTAGAGAACTCAAGTTAAGTTACAGCTGCATTTTGACAATAATAACATTTATGGCCTACATTTCCTGGCACTGGCTAACAAAAGGGAGCTCACAGTGTTATCATTAACACTAAACTGAACAGTTGAATAAGCTTGCCATAGAATAAGGGAGTTAACAGAACCTGTTACAAATTAAAACGTTATTCACTACGACATTTTGTTGATTGGTGTATCGTTGATTAGTAGTTACAACACACAAAAAGCTATAGAAATTACAAGGCTTATGGTAACATGGGTGCTGTGTTTTCAAATCTATGACCACTGATAAAAGGTAGTGAATAGGGATTCATTTCTCTCCATTGAGTGAGCTCAGTCTTATAAAAGAGGCCCCAGAGCCTTTCCCCTTCCACCATGTGAGGACACAGGAAGGAAGCACCATCTATGAACCAGGAAATAGAGCCCCACCAAACACTAAACCTGCCAGTGCCTTGATCTTGGACATCCCAGCGTCCAGAACTGTAAGAAATAAATGGCTGGTGTCTAAAAGTCACCCAGTCAATGGAATTTTGTTACAGCAGCAGGAACAGCCTAGGACACTCAGGCCTGATGCTCCCCGCCCCATCCCCCCCACCCCCCACAGCACAGAGGCTTTCTCCAGACTCCACCTGCCTCCATTCTTCCTCTTGAGCACCTGTAAAGTCCCCAAGGAGATCCCGAGAGTGGGTGTAGTTTTCCAGGGGTTCCGCCCTCTCATCATTCCAGGGGTTCCGCCCTCTCATCTCATTAACAGGTCATTAAACAATTCAGCTGAATTCTTCCTAAATGACATCTGGCGTCTTCATCGGGTAAGTGAGTGCCTGAGTCCTGTGTGTCCTTGGAGGTTGCCAGGTTTTCTTGGATGCTGTTAGCTGGCTGCCCTGCAGCCACTGCTGCAGGTTCAAAAAAAGCTGTGACTTCACAGATTAGTTAGCATTTTTTTGTTACTGTTTTTAGGATGACAGCAGCATTTCCCCCCACTTACATGCTGAGCAGAGGCTAAGCATCCATTTTACATTTTTTGATCATCTATGAATCAGATTTTTTTTCTTACTGCACCTTACTGAGAAAACATTTGGGGAAAAAAAACAAACTGTTGTTTCCTGACATACCAGTAATGCAAAAAAAACCAAACATATATATATATATATATATATATATATATATATATATATATATATATATATATATCACGAGACATCTAGGTAGTTCTGCATTTTACTTAGAAATTTCTTTCCCAGAGAACAAGCAATATATCTGAAAGATTAGAACCATCACATTTTGTGAGTGGGATATGTTGATCTAGTGATTAAAAAACTTTGAAATTTGGATTTAATTATACTTTCCGATAGACAGGTTCTTCCCTGCAGTTGCTTCTAACCTGTACTCAGATTATCATTTATCATTTTCCTGAGACTTACAAAGAGAAAAATCTCATTGGACAGCACTTGCCTTTGCCAAGCTCAGACATAGACCTACTTGCCAGACTTTTTTTAGCTAGATAATCTACACTGAAAATTATAGGAAGCTTTTAAGTATTTTGAAGGGAAACTGGTGATTACAAAGAAAAAAAAAAGCCTTTATTATAGGGAAATCCAGCTGCCTGGAATAGCTACAGTGTTAACAATTATATAGAAAATGTTTCTATTATGAGGTATGCAAAGTAAATTCCTGAACAGGGGCTGATCCTAACATGATAATTGGCTACTCTGACATTTTGCCTCAGGTCATGGCAATGGAGTCATAATAGCTTTTAACTTTGTCAGAAAATGGTGTCATTTCTTACAGGCAACTAGTCAGTCTTATACATTTATTGAACCTCTTCTGTATTAGTCACTGTAGGAATGTTGTCAAAGAAATAATGATTCTGTGTAATTGTCAGAAAGGTGTCTGTTCTTTCTGGACCCACCTTGTCTAAACAGGTAACTCCCAGTGATGATTCACCATCACACCACACATCACACCACCGTCCCACTGTTTTCACACTGTTCTATTCTTTGGAGTTGAGACAAATCCAACCATGGATTTCCTCTATGTGTTCTCCTATGAACCTTTAATCGCCCTTACACCTGGTTCACTGGACCCTCCTGACTTGGGCGCGGTGGCCTGACACCTCTCCCAGACAAGCCAATGTTGCCTCTCTACTGGGTACCTCGCTGAGTGAAGACGTCCTCATTCACCTCCACAAAAATATCTGAGAAAACAGATTCATGCTGAAGTGGCCTTAACTGAGATATCTTTCTTAAGAGGATACTTATATAACATTCATATTTGGGTTCTCTTTGATTTGAACAGAGGATGGTAGGATTCAGCAGGTGTCTGCCTGTGTCCTTCATGTCACTCTGGGCATGCAGTCCGTATGTAGGTGTATGTAGTCTGTATGTCGGTAGATCCTTCTCGCCTTCATGTTCAGACCCACCCCTGCTACGGCGTGTTTTGCTGGGAGTGTGTGATGAGCTTGGCCTGTGTTATCCACACATTCCCTTCTGTTCCTCTTCATGACACCTGTGGTAGGAGGGCCATCTAGAAAACAGATATTCTTTCTTCTGCTTGAATTTTCAACATGGAAGCCAAGTGTTGACTTAATGTTTAGCACTTACTTAACTGGTACCAATTCCTTTCCTGGCTTTTGGGGTGAGTCTCCTTAGGTGGCTCAAGACGTCGTTGTACAACACTGCATCAACGTTCCCAGTGGGTCCACTAGGTTATGGCATTGGGCTTGGCTCAAGGGACACCAAAAGGAAAAAAACATTCAAGGAATTAAATTCTCTGTAGTCTGACCATTATAAGAAACTTGTTCTAGTCCTCTGGTGTGGAATTGACAAGGCAAGACTATAACCCCGTACTTGCAATACATGTAGAAACACAACATGCCAGAAGATAAAAAGAGCGGTAGAGTTCAGTCAAGCCAATATACCCATACCAATATACCAAAATATGCTGGGAGTGTGTGATGAGTTAGGGATCGGTACACAAACCCCCGTTCAGAGTCTGTACTTGCGTTCATTTTATTTTGTACCTTTCTGTATATTTGTTTTGATGGAAGAGTTTCCCCCAGATATGTGGACAAATGTGCAAAGGTATATAAAAGAGTATCCACTTAAGCATTATTTTAATATAGAAATATTATAAATAACCTACATTTCCTTCAATAGGTTAATGAATAAATTGTGTTCAGTTGTTTAATGGAATACTATACAACAGAGAAAAGTAACAAATTAGAACCACATATATGTACACAAATAAATTTCAAATTGATAAATTGTAAATAAATTAGATAGATAAATATATCATTTATTTGAATTTTAAAATATTAAAAATCATATAATGTTTTATTTTGGTATATATACATATGCAATTAAAGCACAAATGCATGGGTACAAATGATAAATATGAATTTCAGGGAAATTTCCTCTCTCAGAGAAAATTGGTGATGGGTACACAGGGCTTTCAATAGAATCTGCATTCTTATTTATGAGACTTATAGTAGACAGGAGCTTATCTTATTCTGTATAATTTTTAGGCCTGAAATATTTCATTATAATAATTTAAAAAATAACAGGCCCTATTGACTTAAGAAAGCTTGATAGCCAACGAGTTAGGTAAAGGTGTTTAGGGATGCCGAGATGCCCAAAGCCTTGATGGTCCCCAAGCAAGCCTCTGGGGCCCTTTCAGGGGTCACCACATAAACCCTATCGTGCCATCTGGAGTAGTGGTGCCCAAGCCCTATACACTTATGGCAAAATGCGTACTGTACCTCTGCTTCCACCCATGATTCTCATTTAATCTGAGGCTGGGCCTGGGATTTGGTAGCAAGCCTGCCAATGATTTTGGTGGGGGGTGATCAGGATGCCTTTGGGAGCCACTACCGAAGCGAAATAGATCAACCACCAGGAGCTATGGTCCTTTGAGCCTTTGCAGCAGACTCATTGCTCATATGATGCAGAATTGAGTAGGGATGTACAGCAGCCAAGGATCATCAGGACTATCACCTGCTAGTGATTATTTTTGGTTCATCTCGACATCCTGAAATGCCTTGACACTTGTGTGGTTTTGGTGGGCAAGCGATATGTCAAGATGTAGTGGGGAAAGTTGAAAACAAGTCCTGAATATTGCTAAGAATGATCAGAGGTGGAGCTAACAGTGCAGGTGAATTGTATCAACAACTCCTTGGTGTTAACTGTGGAAGGTTGCTGTTACAGCCTTGTTTCCTCCATTATTAAGATATCTATCTAAATAAATTAGATAAATAAGTATATCATTTATTTGAATTTTAAAGTATTAAAAATCATATAATGTCTTATTTTGGTATATATACATACACACTTAAAACACAAAAGCATGGGTACAAATGATAAATATGAATTTCAGAAAGAAATTTTCTCTTTCAGAAAATGAGGTTGGTATGATGGCTCACACCTGTAATCCCAGCACTTTGGGAGGTGGAGGCAAGAGGATTACCTGAGCCCAGGAGTTTAAGACCAGCCTGGGCAACATAGCATGATCTCATTTTTGCAATAAATCAGTAAATTAGCTGGGTGTGGGGGTGCACGCCTGTATTCCTAGCTACTTGGAAGGCTGAAGCAGAAGGATCGCCTGAATCCAGCAGGTCGAGGCCACAGTGGCCATGAGCATGACTGCACTCCAGCCTGGGTGACAGAGTGAGATTTACATAATTCTGTAATGCAGTTTCAAACTGTGTGTTTCTGATCCAAAGAATATTCTGAATTACCCTGGGAAATTAAAAAGAACATCTCTTTCTCATTTCCTGTGTAGGGTGAGCAAGGACCCCAAGGCTTTCCAGGGCCAAAGGGCACAAGGGGCCATGGCCTCCCAGGCCAGAAGGTAAGTGTTTCAGTGTGGTAGAGAAATGCTCAGGCTTAGGATCACAATAGCTTAACTTTAACGTTGGAAGTCCTCTTGTCTATGTGTTATGCTTCTCGTTACATCTCTCAGAGGAAAAAAATCCACTTGAAATTAAATCTTTATGCTTCACCTTTTCTATCTGTAAACATACTCACTTTATAAAATCCCCTTCTTAATTCTCAGAGGCCAGCAAATAAAGAAATAAACCTTTACAACATGCCATGTAGGAGATGCTAGATGAATCAGGTATCTCGTAAATGATGCAATAGTTGAATCTTCTGATACAGTAAGCCCCCTACATACAAACTTTCAAGTTATGAACTTTAATGATGCACACCTGCATATTATTTCTCCCCACCAAGTGTCAGGATAGCCTGTTAAACATATAGTACTATTTAGCCAATTATATTAGTTGAGTACCTAGGTTAACTTTCTTGGACCTAAAACAAATTGGACTTACAAACATGCTCTCAGAACAGAACTTGTTTGTATGTTGAGGACTTCCTGTAGTTGAATGTCCTGAAGGTAGTGAGTAGATCAGATGGTATCTTGAGATCTCTTCACTTTGAGATCTCTGGTTCACCATGAATTGGTAGCTGAGGGAATATAAATAAACTGCTCCCAACAAGAACCACAGGTCTTCGAGAGATACCAGCTGCAAATCAACCAGATTATAGAGATTTTCTTATTTGGCCTTAATATTCACATTCTGAACTTACCTTTTTACTGTGTCATAAAGGGAGAGCACGGAGAGCGAGGTGACGTGGGAAAGAAGGGCGAGAAAGGGGAGATTGGAGAGCCCGGCACGCCAGGAAGACAGGCAAGAAGTCGTTTTCAGAGTCTAAGATTTCATACTCAGTCCAACCTGTATTGATTGTCCTCTTCTTCCACTAAGCAGGGATTACACGGACCCAAAGGAGACCCAGGACTCACAGTGAGTATCCATCCTAGAGGGTAATTGAGGGTTTTGCGCTTATAAAATTACTGCCTTCATGTCTTAGAGTTAGAATTCTGAATTCTTGGGATGCAAAATTCCAGCTGCTATTTAAATGTCAGCGACTGCTATCAGCCCAGTGTTGTCTTAGATGCATGAGGTGATTGAAGCTGAATGCAGGGGAGAAATAACCCCAGGCAGCCTCACCCAGCTCTCTGTGGAGGGGTGTTTCTATTCCCCCACCCCTAATAAAAATGATCACGTTGCTATTATTGGCAACAGAGAAGTGAGCTGTTCCAAAGAAACCAAACTGCCAAATGACTTTATTTTCCATGGTTCTTCTCATTTCAGAATGGGGCTCTTTTTTCCTAAACTAGTTTACTTAGGAAGTGCTCTGGAGAGAACAGCAGTCAGATAATTGGGATTACATTTGTGTACTGATTCACTTCCTCAATAAATATGAAGGCGCCCCCCAAAACCCAGAATTATCTGTGGAGGGAGGGCCCCGTGTAATACAGGCATCCCCGGCTAGGTAAGTGTTCTAGGAATCCATTGGCATCAGTGGACCAGCTAGCGTTGTTGGGAGAGGTTGCTTTTGGATTCAGTGAATTTTTTTTTTGGAGACTCTTTCCAAGTGTTTGCCCGTTTCATGGTGGGCGATTTACAAGTGCACCTGCCCACACTGTGTCGAATGTTTAGCAGTTTTGGACCAAAAACATCATGACCCCTGTGCCCCACCCTCCCCAGTCGTGCAATCTCCCCCTGAGCAACTTTTTTTTGTTTCCCTGGATGAAAAGTCCTCAAAGGGAAACATTTTGCCCATGTGGAAGAGGTGAAACAAAAAACAGCAGCTGCTCTGAAAAGCTTCAAAATGGACTAGTTCCAAAACTGTTTTGAGCAGTGGAAAAAGCATCTTGAGAGTTGTATTGCATCAAACAGAGAGTATGTTGAAGGTGACTGAAGTTTAAGCATGTAAAAATATACAATTTTTTTTTTTTTTTTTTGGAGTTGGAGTCTCACTCTGTCACCCAGACTGGAGTGCAGTGGCCGCTCCCGGCCACCGCAGCCTCGACCCTGGGCTCTGGCGATCCTTCCACCTCAGCCTTCCGAGTAGCTGTAATTACAGGCGCGTGCTACCATGCCCGGCTGATTTTTTGATTTATTGTAGAGATGAGGTCTCGCTGCCCAGGCGGGTCTCAAACCCACGGGCTCAGGCAATCCACTCACTTCAGCCTCCCAAAGGCGCGGGATTACAGGCTGAGCCACCGAACCTGGCTAAAATATACAATTTTTTATAAATAAATTTCAGGATGTTTTGGAGGGTCCCCCTTGTATGGGTTGAGCAGATGTTTCCTTATTCTTCTCCTCACATCTTTATTTATTTATTATTTATTGGCATCCCTGGGTGGGTAAGAATTCCCACACCTTTAAAAACAAAATCTAAGTCTTCTTTTTTTTTTTTTGAGTTGGAGTCTCACTCTGTCACCCAGGCTGGAGTGCAGTGACATGATCACAGCCACGACAACCTTGCCCAGCTGGGCTCAGGCGATCCTTCCACCTCAGCCCTCCAAGTAGCTGTAACTACAGGGGCACCACCAAGCCCGGCTAATTTTTTTATTTGTTGTAGAGAAAAGGTCTTGCCAAGATGCCCTGAACTCCTGGGCTCAAGCAATTCTCTTACCTCTGCCTCCCAAAGTGCTGAGGTGACAAGCATGCACCACCACACCTGGCCTGAAAGCTAAGTCTTAACATCTCACAAGTGAGAAAGTTGTAGGATTTCTATAGCCAGATCTAATTCTTCCTTTCTAATTTGAAGGTCCTGCATCTTCTAGAGTTAGGAGAAAATGAGGCCTTTTCTCTTTTCTTCTTGGACCTTCCCTTGGGTTGTGGTCTGGGATGCTGATGATACTCTGTGCTGGGAAAATCCAAGTGTGAGGGGCGAGAGTTTAGGTGGTGAGCCAGGCATGTATCCAGCAAAATCGCTTGTGTGTCCTGTGGTCGCCTGCCTTTTACTCTGCGTTGTTGCCTGCCACATGTCAGAGCCCCAGAGATGCCTACAGTGAAGGTAACAACCCTGTAAACAGCAGTTTTCTCCCCAGAAGTGGCAGGGGAGTGTGTATATAAGTAAACAGAGGAACGTGCTCTCCAGGTTTGCACCTGCCCTTCTGTCCCCAACATGAATCCTCCTTGCCGTCATTACTACCTCGCCCTCTGGTGCCATTTGTTGCCTGAACTGTTCAGTAACTTCAAAACTCTCCCTTGGCTGCTGTGACCACTTCAATGAGAGTGTGACCAGAGCTTTTCTCTGCATAGGGATCACGTGAGTCCCGCTTCCCCGGCTGACGTTCTCACCCTTCAACATGGCGCAAAGGCCTTCCAGAGTCCATCTGTTTTCCGCTTTTGTCGTTCTTTCTGCTGTGTACCCTGAGCCATATGTTTATGCAAGTCCTATAATGCAGTGTGCTCTGAGTGAAGGCTGGTCCCCCCACCTGGAACACTCCTCCCACCCCAACCTGGGCAGAGGCTGCCTCCCTCTGGACCTCAAGACCACCCACATCCTGCCCACCCACCCCCCCCCCCCGGCACCTCGAATTCCCAGCAGACCAACACATTTCCTTGGCTCGGCATAGCCCTACCAAAGTCTGTCTTTGTCTGCTGCCTACTCAACTGAGAAACCTCTGATGGGTATAAATTTAATGGCAAGGGTAGCTCTTCAGCACTTCTAGTGGAAAGAATGAACTATTCCAGATACTCGAAAGCAAAGGATGAGGAAAAGATTGACATATATGACTACATAAAGCATCTGAAACCTGATGACACCATAAAATCATGTTGAAAACACTTAAAATTCAGTCTTGACATACACGTGGCTCTTATAAGTTAATAAAAAACAAATGTTCCAGTAGAAAGATGAGATGAAGGCCATACAAAGACTCTGTACAAGAGCATGCATGGAAACAGGCATGGAAAAGAAAATGTAGCCTTATTAATAATTTAATAAGTGCAGTGTAAGACAGTGAGAGATTCTGCTCGACCAAGTGGCAGAGCTTGTAGTGTATCTAAAATGAAGCAGGCTTTTTTTTATACGTTGCTGTTGGTTACCACAACCCTTCTGCAGCTTGACTGTGTGTCACAGAGCCTTAAGAGGCCATGCGTTCGACCTCATTAGCCAAGTTTCTCAGAATACTTAATCATGTGGAAAATTAATTATGATATAATGTTAAATTAAAAACTATAACCATAAAACTTGATGTATAGTGCTTTCTTCATTTAAGAAAATCAAACATAAATATATAAATATATAATTTCCCCTCTGAGTATACTTTATATAAATACATACAGTTTCTCTTCCTATACGTGTTCTAGTGACAGATTTAGTAAATGCCTCTCTAAATAAGGAAAAGCGTGATAAGGCCTGGAAAAAAAAGATGACTGTCAACTCCCTCATTCTGTATAATTGTATTTGTGTACCTCAGTATCGTATTGGAAGTTCTTCAAAGAGCCCCCTGGAATCACTGGCTTTCACTCAGTTTGCAGTTAAATTAAATCAAAACACTCTGAGGATTCTCCATATATGCTACTTTTAAGCCATGTCACCAGCTATGTCACCTCCACCCCGGTTCTGTCTCTATAGATCTGTTCTTTACAATTTGCTTTTGCACCTGTTATGCTTCATTTTCTTGGTTGGTGCCATTGCTCCTTCTTGCTGAGATGCAGCTTTCCATTCATCATCCTCTTTCGGCTTCAAGTCTCGGGCAACCGTAGCATCCTCTAGTCGCTATTTTACTTGCAAGCATGCTGTCCAAGAGAGGCCCTGGCAGATGCGCTTCTGGTACCTGGCTCACTCAGGTCCTTCTGACGGAACCCATGGCAGAAAGACCAGGAGGGAGCATTCAGGCACATGGTGACATTTCCTGGTACAGCCCAAGTGAGAGTATTAGTGAAAGGGGACTTACAAAATTGGAAATTAGTACACAGAAAGAAGAGAAAATATAACATCGAATGGATTCTCTTGTGGTTCTGAGGCTCATCTCAGCTTCTCAGCATGCATTGTTTAAATTGTTAACAGCTGGGTGCGGTGGCTCCTGCCTGTCATCCCAGCACTCTGGGAGGCCGAGGTGGGAGAATTGCTTGAACCCAGGAGTTTAAGACCAACCTGAATATCATACTGAGACCTTGTCTCTATTAAAAAAAAAAATCAAAAAAATTAGCTGGGCGTAGTTGGGCTCGGTGGCTTCAACCTGTAATCCCAGCACTTTGGGAGGCCGAGGTGAGTGAATTGCCTGAGCCCGCGGGTTCGAGACCAGACTGGGCAACTTGATGAGACCTGATCTCTACAAAAAAAAAAAATTAGCTGGGCATAGTCACGCATGCCTGGAGTCCCAGCTACTAGGGAGGCTGAGGCAGAAGGATCGCCTGAGCCCAGGAGGTCAAGGGCTGTGGTGAGCTGTGATCACACCACTGTACTCCAACCTGGCAGCAGAGTGAGACTCCAACTCAAAAATAAATGAATAAATAAATAAATAATATAATATGATTGACTGCATATATTGCACCAAACCACTGGAGGGAGCGTTTGAGTGACCAGATCCTGTGCTCATGTGTACGTTAACCTCATTTAATCCACAGCATGGCCCTGAGGCATGGACACTATTAGGTCACCCAGTGCCCAAGTTCACACAGCAGATACATGCTGGAGCTGCCATTTGAACTCCAAAAATGAGCTATTAAGTTTTGCAACTCAACCCCATTGTAGTTATGATATATGATATCCAACTTTTAACCTCTGGGGGTATTTATTTTATTTTCTGCAGTGGAAGGATGAAATCAAATGGCCCGGTGCTGGGTGTCATGAGATATCTTTTATGACTATTGGGGAAAAAATATTATAGCCATACATTTAATCTTAATACATTTTCTTTTTTTTCCCCCAGAAAGAAGAAATTATCAAACTTATTACTGAAATATGTGGTAAGATTTGACTATCAAGAAAAAAAAAAAACCATTGCTTTCAAGTGCCAGCCCCATTATATGCTGTGTTGGAGTGATAATGTGTTCACCTGGAAGAGATGTGTATTGTAGGGCCAGTGGAAAGGGTTGGGTTCATTTGAAATGTCAGCCGAACACTGAAAGGGAGCAGCAGCCAGAGAGCCTGGGAATCCTGATTGAAGAAGAACGAGCATCTTCCCGGGTGGGTTAGGGAGCATGAGGATGTTGGCCTGGAGTGTAGGCACAGTGATCATTTGTATTCAGGGACATTTGCCTGAGGTCAAGAGGAAAAATGCTACAGAGGAAATACAACTACAAGAGCCCAACTGGTTTTGGAGCCAGCCTAGTTGGTGATGATAATGGTCTGTGTTTTCCCTGAAGTCAGAAGTCTCTCTGAACTGAGTTTTGTTGTTGTTGTTTGTTTGTTGTTTTGAGACAGGGTCTCACGGTCTCACTCTGTCTCCCCAGCTGGAGGGCAGTGGCATAATCATAGCTCACCGCAGCCTTGACCTCCTACTCTCAAGTGATCCTTCCACCTCAGCCTCCTGAGTAGCTGAGACTATGGGCACACAGCACCATGCCTAGCTAATTTTTTATTTTATTTTATTGTCGAGATGAGGTCTCACTTTGTAGCCTAGGCTGGTCTCGAATTCCTGAGCTCAAGAGATCCTTCCACCTTGGCCTTCCAAGTGCTGGGATTACAGATGTGAGCCACTGTGCCTGACCCTGAATTGAGTATTGAGTTATACTCAATTCCAAAGGCAGGAGGATAGAGTCAAGAGTTCATCTTACTTCACAACTCCCAACTGCTTCAATGGCCGAATACTTTAAACTTGAAACAGAATCACCAGAAAGAAGTAAAGAAAAGTGATTAGCCAAAAAACAAGAGATGAATGAAATTATGACGAGAGAATTTTCTGTGTCTAAGGTGGACAGAGGCAGAAATATTATTATCCTTCCATACTGAGAATTCCAGAACTGGCTGGTTCCCTAAAAGACTTCTGGACCTAAGAATCAGTCTGGGCCTCTATGCTGGTAGGCCAGTGTAGACATGGCTTCTGAGTTCTGAAAGCCCTGTAAAGGTAGCACCCAATTTCCTGGTGGGTTTTTATAGTGGGTCGTTGAGCAACATGAGTGCAAATAAAGAGATGTACTCCTGATATTTTTATTTCCTGGTGACCCTGGCAACTGCTTCACATGGTCGCTCATTGACCTCAATAGGACTTTTTTTTTTTGACCCACATTCTCCAGGATCACGCCCCTCCAAAAGTTTTGTAGTAGGAGTATACTGTTCTCCTCGATAATGTGAAAGCCACCAGAGGTGTCAGTGTGGGTAACAGAGGAGATAAACTAGAGTATTTGGAGGTAGCTGTTCTGGTGAATGTTTAAGGCCCCAATCCTTCCCCCAAAATTAACATTTTTCATTCCATTACATTGGCCAAACCAGTGAGGAAAAATCCATTTTCTTATGAGTATAAGGACATGGTTTAACACTGAAATATCAGCTTTCAGATTCAACTTAAACACAGTGGTGGAATGATAAAGAGCAAATTTAGGATAATGTTTGTCTCATGGGGAGAGGTAGAGGAATGTAGTTGGGAAGGCATTCCCAGGGCATGTTAACTCTTAAAAATATTTTATTTTTAATCTGAGAAATGGGCACATAGGTGTTTATTCTTTTATCCAATACAGTTTCCCACCAATATATTATTTTTTAAAGAAGTGTCAAGTATAGGATCTGGAGGGAGACTGTTGTCCTCTGTTTTCACAGTCACAAAAAAGGAAGTTCACGCTTCAGGTCTCAGATTCAATCTTGCCCTCCTTTCCTTTCTCCTCCCCAATCTGACACCGACCCGTGATGCTTTGATCTTCATTCCTGCGATGCTCCTGTCTCAACATTCATCTTCCAGGGTGTGGTCCCAAATGCAAGGAGATGCCACTAGAGCTGGTGTTCGTGATTGACAGCTCAGAAAGCGTGGGGCCAGAGAACTTCCAGATCATCAAAAATTTTGTGAAGACTCTGGCTGACAAGGTCGCTCTGGACGTGGCCACAGCCCGCATAGGTGTCATCAACTACAGCCACAAGGTGGAAAAGGTGGCTGTTCTGAAGCAGTTCTCCAGCAAGGATGACTTCAAGCTGGCTGTGGATGACATGCAGTACCTGGGGGAAGGCACGTACACGGCCACCGCTCTCCAGGCAGCCAACGACATGTTCCAGGATGCAAGGCCAAGTGTGAAGAAGGTAGCCTTGGTCATCACTGATGGGCAGACGGATTCTCGAGATAAAGTAAAACTGACGGAGGTGGTGAGAAACGCCAGTGAGGCCAACGTGGAGACATTTGTCCTCGGGGTGGTGAAGAAAGATGACCCCAACTTTGAAATATTCCACAAAGAAATGAATCTAATCGCCACAGACCCAGAGCACGTTTATCAATTTGATGATTTCTTTACTCTCCAAGGTAAGGAAGATCATCTATATTTTTCTTCCAAGTACCACATCCCTGGATTGTCCTGTCCACATAGGAAAACTAGGGGGTTAATAAGGCTTCTTCCAACATTAGGTTGTAGCGTACAAACTCCACCATGTAAAGAGGGTTTGTCTCTTCCAGTGTGAAGGGTACAGTCCCTTGTCTTTACTCACACGTAGTAAGTGCTGAAATGGCCTTGGAATTATTGATCTGGGGAGTCCATGGTCAATGGACAGGGATGAAGAGAAAGAATAGGACTTGGGTATATTGCTAAGATTAGCTAATGTCCTGAAAGCTACCTGACTAAAATAAGGGCTTGAGCAAGCCAACAGCAAGGCAGAAAACAGCCATGGAGTCAAAACAAATGAAGAAGTGCAAGTTGAATGAAAAAAGTTGTCATCATCTAAAGAGGTGAGAAAGCAAATAACTGGGTTTATTTCAAGGGTGTGTTCTAGTCTCTGTTTTTAGGAAAGCAGAGAATAATGAGTAAACAGGTGATGTCAGGAATGTATCTTAAAGAACCCCATTTTGATACTCATCACACAGTCAGTACTAATCTGATGGGCTTCCCTACGCTAAGTTTCACATGAACTGATATTTACCAACAAGGCATCCTCAGACGCTGACTCCATCCATGGTTAGATTACGGTCAGTATCACTTTACAATGAAATCTATTTGAATTCTTTGAAAACTGATGACTCTTGCTGGCAGGGCCCATACCTGGCAAGCTTGTGAAGGAAGTGAAAGTTAGTTTGACATGGTTGCAGGCTTCAGTTTGGCTCTATTCTTCCTCCTCCACCCAGTGGGGAGTGGGCCCTGACGTGGCTTGGCATAGATGCCCAATGCCTGTGCCCTGCCTACTCTGGGTACCGGCACAAGTGGCCTTAAGGATAACATATACTTGAAGATAAACATACCATGCTCTCCTTCTCTCCTTCTCCAGAGCTTTCTAACCTGATGTTCTATTTCCTTTGCGCCCTGCTGGGTGACTGGGTGGGTTTACCTGTTATATTTGATCCCACTGGGATATGAAGGTGTTGGAATGGCTGGAGACATTTCATAGACAACTCATATATTTTAGTTATTGAAAAGCTTTGCCATCTTATCTGAAGAAGTTAGTGATTTGTGGCACAGTGAGGATACATTTTTGAATATTTGCTATTTCTAAAACCAGAGGTAATTACCTCTATAACTCATTACATGGCCCTTTACATAGAGTAATTCATAGTCAACAGATACTTGTATATGGAGTAATTTATAGTCAACAGACATTTTGGATAAATATGCATTTAATTTGAATAAACCTGCATTTAAGTCATTCTTTGCCTCTTTGCACCATCATATGTTATTAAATTAAAGTTTTTTAAGAAGACCCTTACAGATGATGTAAAATGCTTTGTAAGTTAGTTCACTTAGCAGTTAATGTCAAGCCATGAGAAATTACTTCTGTTAAGGAGAACACAGGTCTCTTTAAATGGATTTTAAATAATGTTTCATTGCATCTACTCTCTCCCTCTTCTACTTCTCTTTTAAAAGACACCTTGAAGCAAAAATTGTTTACAAAAATTTGTGAGGATTTTGATTCTTACCTCGTTCAAATTTTTGGCTCATCATCACTTCAACCTGGACGTGGGCCATCAAGGGAAAAATTCAGCGAATCAACTCCAGAGCCTCTAAAAGAAATTTCCGAGTCAGTAAGTAACTGTCTTGCTTACTTTGTGAGCTTAGGAGGGTATATTCTGTCTATTTTGTGTACAAATCATTTTGCCCTACACTGTAAAGCATCAGCTGGGACATGTGCATTTATTAAACATTGCAGATGACATTTTTATAGTGTGCCTCTGTCACCACCAAAGGGACTGTGTGCTCCAGAACAGATGAACATACACTATCTGAATGTACCCACGCGGCATGCCATGCAGAATCCCTTGTGCCAGGTCATGATTCTCCCTCTTCCACCTGTGTGGCCACTCCCCACCTGGTACCTGCTCAAGTTTTTTCCAAGTACGCAAGTGCCCAGCCAGCCACTCCCCAACACTATGAGTAATGATCTTGCCCCGTCTAGCTTCCACCTGTGCTCTGAGGGAGACCTGGGGGGCGGGCTCACATGTGAACAGTGGAGGTAGGTGCTTTGTCCCAGAGCTCCCTGCTCATGTGGCAAGAGAAGACAGGTAACTACCTCGTGAGTGTATTGAGACAAATGTGACCATTCCCATAACTTCCGGGAACTGACGTCTGCCAATCAGATCATAAGCAACACTTAAGTTCTCTTAGGTGGAAATTGGGGAGCTTCTGTCATTGCTGGTGAAGGCTCTAGGCTCTTCCCCAGCAAGTTTCGAGTACAGCAAGTCTAGATTGATTCTACCACACATGTAGACATCCTCTGGCAAGCAGGCCACAGCAGTCACACCCTTGTTCTGTAAGTTCAGGGAAGTCCCTGCACTGTCTTTCTGTAAAGGATTCTTTGTCAGGAAGGAGTAATCCCAAGCAAATATAACAATATTCTCATCAGGATTCAGTGAACGGTCTAGTTAGACTAAAGCCCCAAGAGACATCCAGATCAGTCGTTGGACGTGGGCCTTTCAGGAATCAGGCCTAGGATATCACTCCCAAGGGCACAGACTTAGAACTCACTAGATTTTTATACCCCGTTCACAAAAGGATAGAAAGGCCTCTAACATATTTCTATTTGATTAAATACTAATCAGCTCCAAAATGGGTAATTCCAATAGGACAACAGACTACCCCTAGATTGTAGATTGAAATTAATATACTCATTTATACCACCTGGTCTAGGCTAGGGGTCAGCAAACTCTTTTTATAAAGGGCCATATACTGAATACTCTGGTTTTGCAGGCCAATTTTGGTTCCAATTATTCAATTCTGCCCTTGAAGTGCAGAAGTAGTCACAGACGTTACTTAAATGGATGAGCATGGCTGGGTTCTGATGAAACTTATTTACAAAAACAGATGGTGACTTGGATTTGGCCCACAAGGGCTTGCCAACCCTGGTCCATGCTGAGCATTTTAAAGTAGATTGCAGACAATAATGCACAGAGCCTATCTCCTCCTGAGCATGAACTATTACTGGAGCTTTGCCTGTTTTTGTGACTTATCCCTTTGTCCCCTTACCCTGTCCTAGTCAATCCATGTCCCTTTCTAAAGTCCTCCTAAACAAGAGCAAGCTCAGGAAGTGATGCTTAAACTGAGCCCTCTTCATAATTACTGAATCACACTTTTGCTGTATCAACACTAGTGAATTCCAGTAATAAGTATGGATCATTTACTGCTGTGTTAGTTGATGACAAGACACAGTTCCTGCCTGCAGAAGCCCACATTCTATCAGGGAGATAAGCAGAGCTATAGAGGAAGTACAAGAGATGGCACAATTAATTTCTGAGGAGAGTAATGGAAAGTGTCTTATTCTGCCTGGGCTACTATAGCAAAAATACCATAGACTGGATAGCTTAAACAACAACATCTATTTCTCACAGTTCCAGAGACTGGGAAGTCTGAAATCTTGGTGTTTGGTGAGGGTTCACTTTCTGGCTTGTTAACAGCCGGCTTCTTATGTCCTAACATGGCTGAGAAACAGCTCATCTGTCTCATGTTTCTTGTCATACTGGCACTAATCTTATTCAGGAGGGCTCCACCTTTATGACCAATGACCTCCCAAATGTCCCACTTCAAATACCATCACACTGGAGATTCAAATTTCAATATGTAAATTTTGGAGGGACACAAACATTTAGTCCATGACAGAAGGGTTCACAGAGGAGGTGGCATTAAGCCAAGTTTTAGGAATAACTAGGAGTTTTTCAAGGAAAGAATAGGGGGAAGGTATTTCTAACAAAGGGAACCTGTGGGCAAAGGTGTTTTAAAGTAGCATGGCATTTCAAGGAAGTCAGACAAGTTCAATCTAATTGTAACCTTGGGTGTGTGTGTGGCAGGTTGGTGAGAGTTAAAACTGGACAGGTAATTTAAGGGTGAATTATAAATGGCACCATGTGTCAAGACAAGGAACTTAAACTTCATCCATAAGCCAGCCAATCAGAGAAAGCAGAGGAGTTTTAAAAGCAAGAGTCACATGGTCATCTTTGGTTCACAGAAATAACCCTGGTTGCAGTGTAAAAGATACCTAGGAAGAGGAGGCAAGGAGACCAGAGACTGGGATATAAGTTCCTGAGAGTCCAGGCAAAGGGTAATGAACCCCTGGAAGAAGGCGGGCATAAAGAAAGAGGCACTGAAAAGCCATGTCAAGGGTAGAATTAACAGGATCTAGTGATTGGATGGACTGGAGGTTAGAGAGAGAGGGGGGTTGGTATGACTATTGTGTTTCTAGCTCGGCCATAGGATGGATTGAAACACCATATACTTAGTTGGAGAATGTAGGAGGTGGGGTGCATTTTTTAGAAAGAAAATAATGAGTTTAGTTACATGGTATTAACATATTGTAACAGATGAAGTTTTCTAGTAACTGGGGAGGGGAGGACACGAGACACGTACATCCAAAATAGTTTGAATTTCTAACACTCAGAGTCACATGAGAGGAACTGAGCATCCACTAGGTCTCACCAGGGGGACTTTGACCCAGATAGAAGAGCTTGCAGTGAATTTGAGCTTCTTGGGTGGCCCCTCTTATTTCTAGACTTTCTCATGCTGGCTCTCTCCAGAGAAGCACTAGATAAAACTGAATTCTTTTATTTTTTTAATTTTTTTTGAGTTGGAGTCTCACTCTGTCGCCCAGACTGAAGTGCAGTGGCTGCTCCTGGTCACTGCAGCCTGACCTTCTGGGCTCCGGCGATCCTTCCGCCTCAGCCTTCCGAGTAGCCGGAATTACAGGCGCGCGCTACCACGCCCGGCTAATTTTTTGATTTTATTGTAGAGATGAGATCTCGCCTGCCCAGGTGGGTCTCGAACCCGCGGGCTCAGGCAATCCACTCACCTCAGCCTCCCAAAGGCACAGGATTACAGGCTGAGCCACCGAGCCTAGCTAAAACTGAATTCTTAAATAAAGATTTCCTGATAGATATTTAGCCTGAACAAATATATAAGCATTTATATTCACATGTAAGTCTCTGATACACAATCACTTAATGACAGGGACATGTTCTGAGAAATGTGTCATTAAGCATTTTTGGTGTTGTACAAACATCATGAATGTACTTGCACAAACCTAAAAGGTATCATCTACCACAAACCCAGGCCAGAGGGTTCAGTTTATTGCTCCTAGGCTACACACTTATGTGCAAGTTACTGTACTGAATACTGTAGGCAATTGTAACAGAATGGCAAGTATTTGTTTATCTAAATAGGTCTGAACATAGAAAAGGTACAGTAAAAATATTGTAATATAATCTTAAGGGATCACTGGTCCCACACGTGGTCAGCAGTTGACTTAAATGTTGTTATGTGGAACATGACTATATGTATATTTACATGGACCCTGACAATTAAGTTCACGAAATCATCCTAGAAGAAATGCTACGTACCTCATTGCTGAATATCAGTATGGTTACCTTCGAAGTACTCCCCTTGGGAAGCTATACACTGATACCAACACCTTCAAAGTGATTTTGGAACTCTTTTTTCTGGAATGGCCATCAGAGCTGTTGTCATATTATCCTTGTTGTTCTGAATAACATCAAATGTCTTCCTTTTAATATTTCCTTCATCTTTGGGTAAAGAAAAATGTCACTGAGGGCCAGATCAGGTGAGTAGGGAGGGTGTTCCAATACAGTTATTTGCATAGTGCTGCTAATGTAAGCTCACGCTGGCAGGTTCTCTAACTTAATTGTCAGACCTCAACAAATAACAATGACAGCACTGACCATTCCAGAAAAATAGTTCTAAAATTGCCTTGATGGGTGGACTAGGCGCTGGCGTCAGGGCATAGCTTCCCAAGGAGAGTCCTTTGAAGGTGACTGTAGTGATATTCAGCTGTGAGGTAGGTAGCACTTTTTCTAGGATGATTCGAAAACCTAATTTTCAGACCTTGGAGGCAGACATATACACACATATGTACATATATGCATCCATATATACAGCATACACATACACATACATGCAAACACATATTACTGTTTCTGTGCCAGCACACCCGCCCTTACCCAGCAAGCATAATAACAGTATGTAGACTTCTAGAAGAGAGTAAAACTGTCAAAGCCTCTGGATTCTCAGGTGGCCGCTGCACCTGCCCAGGCAGTACTGCAGAGCAAGTTAGTGCTGATCGCAGAAAAAAATTTCCTTTTGGCATCTCTCTTTCTTTTCCCTGTTGTCCCTTCTGTCACTCCCTTAAGACACCTAGCTCTGTCCTTCCTTCCTTCCTGCTCTTCTTTCAACCAAAATCTGTTCTTAGGGAGAAATCTGATATCAGTGATTGACACTAAGCCAGTGGGTTTCCATGTCCATGCAGGAATAGTATTTTCACACCTCATCGGGAACTGTTGTGCTGAGAAGGCCATCCCGGTCCTGCTAAATTCATGATACTCCAGCAGACTCCTGCTGTGTTTTCCTTACGGGTCAGTCTTGGGAAGCAAAACACGCACATGCATTCTGCTCCATCGCTCTCCTAGAATCTCAGGATAATTTCTCCTTTCTTCTGGAATTCATTGCATTTTATGTTGTCAACCATTATTTTTGGGTGTGCTTTGACTTTCCTATGGGTTTCAATTCCTTGAGGACGTGATCTGTG